AGCATTTGAACCTTGGGGAAATGTCACTAGGATGTGGTTCATTGTGAAATGTGCAAAGATAAGGCCATGAGGAGAAGAGAAGTGGGAAAACAGGCAAGGACTGTGTTTCTGGGGAAAGGCCTCATGACTAGGTGGAAGCTGATGTCAAAAATGGAAAACAAAACAAAACAAAACAAAAGTGATGATGATTGGATTTGGCAGGAGGAAAGTCCTTTGACCTTAATAAGTTTGTGAAACAGAAGCAGGTAACTACAATTGGTTCTTAGATCAACATTGTTGGACAAGCTGCACAGGCTAGACAGTGAGCCTCTCAAGCGTAGGGTTCACGCCTTATTCCTGTCTCCACCTGGCACAGTCCACGTTTCTTGGTTGACTGAATGATGAATGAATGAATTGGAGACATTCCAGAAATGAGCTGGTTTTCAGGAATATGTACAAGAGTTCAGTTGGGGATAACTTCAATGTGTCAGTGGTAGGAAACAGCTGAAATAGGGAATTATATAGGTAAGGTACAGGGTCGTTTTATTCACAATGCATGTTTCTGCCCTGATCATTCAACCCAAAGTATTGTGAATGTTTTTGGCTGCGAAGTTTGTGATGGTAATTGTACGAAGCGGGCACGTGTGTGTGTGTGTGCATGTACAAACTATTAGTATGCCTAATTTGTTTGGTCTATTCATGTGGAAATTTCTTAAAAGTAATGGATTCTGCAAGGTTTGGGGAAAACTGTTTGAAGGCTTACATAAAAACAGTATTTTCTACTGATAGTTTGAGCTGTGGTTTGAAAAGCATAGATGTGGTCTTCTATTTGCAGGGTTTGTTTTCTATCCTTTCCTCAGACATTAAAGTGACTTGTAATTGCCCCTCTTAAACTGAATCCTGGAAGAATAGCAATGATTCACAAGTGTTGGCAAAGTGCTACTGAAATCTGGAAAGTATTTACTGGAATTGTTTGGACTTTCTAAGATCAGACCTTCAGTGGATGTGATAGAATAGGAAGAAAAGATAGAGCATTTCTAGCTGGCAACCGCATTTCTTTGGAATTGTTAGTCAAGAAGCTGGAAGCAAAATGATTTTCAGAAATATATGATTCCGGCATAAATCTACTTTTAAAAATGCCTTTAGTCCCAGTAAAATATAAATTGTGGTATAAAAGCCAGAGAGATTTGTGCACTCTCTGCTGTTGACATGATAGAGTTGTATTGTCTGCTATCCCCAAACTCCTACTATGCCCTGAATTCTGAAGACATTAAATTTCACCCACTGTATGGCAAGATTCTGTCACCCATCCTGGGGCGAGCACTACACAGGTGCATTATGGGAAAAGTTCATCTTTCCCTGACTGATGCTTCAGGGAGAATGAGAAGCTTGAGGTATGTCTTTCTGTTGGAGTAACAAGCTTTGTGAATCTCCTGTCCGTATTTTTGATACCACCCTATCCTTAAGCTTTTAAATTACAAATGTAAAAATATAACCTAGAAATGAAAATCCCTTCATTGTTCTTCCGTGATGCCCATTCCAGCTCCCCAGAAATAAGAAGGGCGAACAGTTTGGTGTGTAATACTCTTGCTTTCAGATTTTAATTTGAACGTAGGTTCCTAGAGCTCCTATTCACTGACGTTCTGTGTGTAGAAACAGTGTCAGAAGACCAACAAGGTAACCTAAACAGCCTGTGGGAAAACCCAGCTTTTGTGTTTTACGTGCCCAATAAATATATTGGTCTGTATATACCCGTGGTGGTTGCAAGTATGTGATCTCTGGGCACTATACAGCCCCAAAATATATTTTGTATGGCTTGTCCAGTGTGTTAAAAAAGTCTGTGAATCCATTGCCAACATTTGAAAATCAGGGTATTTCACACAAAAGTCTGTGGTGTGGCTAATCTTGAAATATAGGAAGACCTGCAGCTATGGAGACACATTCCTATGGGGCAGCAATTGGCTAGAGGTGAGTAGTAGCAGCCCTTCTAGACACATAATCTGCCATTTGCTTCACCCCCAAATGCTCCCTGTTGGATTACATTTGGCTAGCTGCATTTACTTGCCTTACCTATTGTCCCTATAAACATACAGAGCTGAGTTTGCAACTCTAATCGTTAAGTATCAGATTTGAGAGCCAAAAATATTATAGATAGGGGGACCATATAATTAATTGTCCAAAATAGGACACCTTGAGAGTAGAAAGTAGTGCTGTTAATATTTACACCAGGACAGTGGGCACACACCAGGACATATGGTCTCCGTCTTTACAGATCACTTTATTCAATCACTTCTTCATTTCTAATGAGAAAATGGAGACCTAGAAAGAGGATTGCCTATGGTAGTCACCAAGTAAACTAATGGCAAAGCTGACTCCCAGTACCCTGACTCCCAGTCCACTGCTTTCTCCAGTATAATGTCATCTATATAACATATATGAGCTCCATATTTTCCTTGAGTATATGGATTTCTTTTTTCTTTTTTTAAAGGTTTTATTTATTTATTTGACAAGGAGAGCTAGAGAGCACAGGCAGGGGGAGCAGCAGAGGGAGAGGGAGAAGCAGGTTCCCCGCTGATCAGGGAGCCCAATGTGGGGCTCGATCCCAGGACTCTGGGATCATGACCGGAGCTGAAGGCAGACACTCAACCATCTGAGCCACCCAGGTGCCCGAATATATGGATTTTTTTATAGTTAATAATTATCACACGGCTAATTCCCTGTGAGGGTGTACAAATCTGTAGTTTATATCATCAATAATATTTCTCTTATGAATATAGTTAATTACGGGCTATCGCACATCTAGAGATGTTTAAAACATTGGTAGGCTTGAGAGCTCAAGAGTAGACACAAGGAAAGCCTTTGCATTTCACTAGATACAGTAAGAGATACATTCAGAAGTGCTAATTGTCTGGATTTTTTAAAAATCACCATTAAGTAAGTATCCGATAACTAGCTTGCTAAAATGCTGTATATTGACTTCTTGATCACTGGCTATTGGCTGGTAATTAATATTAATTATGTCTTTAAGAGATGGCCAACATCCCAAATTCCCCAGTCCTTGACCAGTTGTTTCCTTGTTGAGTTTCCAAGAGATACTTGTACACAGAACACTCCAGATGAGACCAATGCATGCGCTTAATTACTTGCTCAGACTCTGGTCCCAAATCCCTGTCTGGTATTCCATCCTAGGAACTGGATTAGACCATATGTGAGTCTCAGAGGCACAGCTTAGCATTTCATGAAGGCTTAGGCTAAAGGCTGGCCTGAGAATTCTCCTTCAGGATGCCTTTTTCCAATGTCCCACTTGGCTCCTGTATGTTCCTCCAAGAGACCTTGCAAATAGCAGACCATCCTTAGCATGTTAGCTGCACAAGATAGAGGACCAAAAGAAGCCCTTCTTGCCAAAACCTAAAACAGAGCTAGCCTAAGTCACTCATTCTATAACTTCCTTGACCTTGGAATGTATTGTGGTCCCAATTAATTTTTTCCAATGAGGGACCATTACCCACGCAGGACGTAGGACCAGGGCACATTTTACCGCATTGGCCTTGCATGGTTAGGGAGAGCCAAGAAAAAGTAAATGTCCTGGAGGAGCTGCTTTTTCTTTGACTTTTATCAGAGCCGCTTTTCTATGGAGTGGTTTGATAGAGGAGGGGATCGGTGACCGACCAATCATGACCAACCTTTAGATTCAAAATATAAATCACACAAGTGGGTAACTTTTTTCTAATGCACCTCAACGAACTAAATGAGCCAAATCCATATGCATGAAACAGACCCCTCAAACTGTGTATTCAGTACTGACACGTGGCTACTGAGCCTTTGAAGTGTTAATATTTTGGCTACTTTGGTATGAGTAAAACATAGTATTAAATTTCTTTCTTTTTTTAATACTCTAATATGATTGCTAGAAAAGCTAAAATTATGTGTAGCTCACATTCTCTTTCTAATGGACAGAGCTGTTCTAGGGGTGTGTGTTATGCACATAAGTGAAGTAAGATTCAGTTGCATGCTTAGGTGGTACCACAGTGGCTTTTTGCCATCAGCAGTCTGAAATGAGGGCAATTTGCTAGTTGCTTCATCAGGCAGCTTGTTTATTAGCAAGGCTTCAGTGAGGCAGAAACATCTGGGACAGGTGCAAAAGTCATATCAGGGCCTTTACATTTATCTTGATATGAGAACATGGCGAAAGCATTCAGTGCTTCTTTCTATAAATCAGGCTAGCTGTTAAAAGGACTAACCTCCTCCCCCACATCTCCCACAATCTTGGTTCCTGCGCAGCTCTTTGCCTTCCAGAGCCCCGAGGGGCACCTGTTCTGACACCAGCCCTTAAGCTCATCTGCTGTATCATGCAGAAGGCACTTGGGGTCATTCAATGCCAGCTGTGGGTCCCATATGGAAAAGCCATATCACATACATATGTATGGAGTATTTCTGAAACCAGAAGGAGTGTAGAAGAGCGTGTAAGTCATCTAGCTTTATCTTTTCCTTGCCTTTGAAAATTTTAATCATTGAAACATCTTTAGGCTATAAATAGAATCATGTAGTGAGACGATTCTGGGTTAAAACCAAATATGTACTTGTGTTTTGATATGGACATAGGACTGTGTATGGATGTATGAAAATGTAGGTTGCACGGCTAGATACAGATGGGTTTGACTTTCCGATAAAATGTGTGGAGAAGAATGTATAAATGAATGGAGATGGTGTATGTCAGTCTGCTCAAGCAGGGCTTTTCATATTTGAAGCAGAGATTTCCTCCTTCTATAAATAGTTGGAGAGAAAGTTCTGTTTCTGCTTCCATCTGGTTTAGGTGCAAAGTTCACTTACATGGCTGCCAAAGATTGATGGAGAAAGTTTTTCTCTTGACTGAGCTCAGCCTCTGTGACTTGTCTCTCCTACCACAAAGAGCCTGGGTCCATGGCCCTGTGTAGGGTTGGTGCCAACCGGAGCCAGCCTCGAAGCAGTAGTTTCCTTTGGAGTAACCTCTTTCCTTCTTCTTTTCCTTCCACCTCTTCTAGGCAGGACAGGGCTGCTTGCTGATCTCTTGCCCAGTTTTGCTGTGGAGATTATGCCAGGTATTCAGTCATTTAACTCTTAATTTGCTGTCACTCCATCTGTCTTGCTTCTGCATTAGTCACTAATTGCTCCTTTAATTTATTTGCACATTTGTCTGTATGTTTCTGTGGCCTTTTCCAGGATGAACTAAGCCCAGTGGAAAAGACTTTCGATTATATTTCTTCTGTTACTAGGCCCTAAAAGAATAATGATAATTAAAATAGGGCTGCAGTGGGGACCCGGTACTTCAATGTCAGGCCTTTCAGGCTCTTTGGCAATCTCCATAACCATTCAGTATCTCAACTGTACCTAGGCAGTTATAAGTATCCCCAACAGAGTTATTATTTATCTGCATTTCCTTATTCCCTAAGTTATATGTTTACCCATTCATTAGTGTACAATCATGTTACTCTGAATTGCCTTTTATAACTTTATCAAAACATTTTTTCAAGGCTTATGAAAGTAATGCACCCCTCCTCCCTTCAAAAGTACACATTTACAGACCTACATTGCTTTGTATGCAATTTCAGGAGCTTCTTGGGCCCCCTAAGTCCCTGGGATCCATAGACCATATGTCAAGGAAACCCCAGATGCACACCTCTGTCATCTTATTTAGCTTAAGTTGAGTGCACCAGTCTAGACAAGCCAACCTCAGTTCGGGGCAGCCCCAGAGTCTGTAATGGAAGGAGGTTCAGAGAGAAACAAGAGTGAACTATGGGAAAGGACATATGCAAACTCAGGGAATAGGAAAGACTATGATTCAGTCTTGCTTTAGAGGGCTTCTGCCAAAGGGTTAAGAGCCGCATAATAGTTGGGAGCAAGAGAGATACAAAATATTCCTGGCCATTGGTGTTGACTTTATTCAGGTTTTAAAACATCTGAAGTCTTTACAGTTGAGTCTGACTAGTTATTCTTCCATGAATTCTCCTGTTTTGCCATTAGCTGGCCAACCCAAATATGGACAGTCTTCACACTGATGTTGATCCCAAGGACACAAATAGATACCTCTGGGTGATTCCCCCTTATCCAGAGTTCTGTCAGTTTGTACCCATTTGTTCATCTCACACACACACACACACACACACACACACACACACACACACACGTTACAGAGCATTGCTTCAAACTAGATGTTATATCTCCCAGTCTTAAGAAAGAGTTACTGTATTTTTCATATCTGGTCCTTGTCCCTTGACTGTCCCTCCCTTTTGACTCCCAAGAATCCTTTCATGGATAGCATTCTTTTGTTTCTCCGAGGTAGCCTGCCAGTCTGTAACCTTGACTGCCCGACCCTTGTTGTAGCCACCGAGGCACACCACGGTTCTGTTCCTCAGGGCTCGTATCTGTCTCAGGCTACATAATGTTATTGTATTGTAGCTGAGGACCAGGACAAAGGCCTCCGCTATCTACTGTCCTCAGCAGGAATGCTCTCCAGACCATTCTCACCAGGCGCAAGACCTTCTCATTTCCTCACTGAAGAGATGGTGACCTGGTTAATTTGAATGTATTTCGGATGGATGAGTGAGGAGGGACATTCAGGAAACATAAGTTGTTTGTTTTCTTCCTGAGGAAATTATGTTCTAAACAAAGGTCAGATAATTTTAACATTAACACAAAACCCTTTATATAATGAAAATACCATATTTTCAAGCTCCAACTGAATGTCCATTTAATTGAAGGAAGATTTAATAACCAAAATTCAAGAAAAACATTATGTACTGGAAGTTCACTGTGAAGGGACTTCTGGTAGGTGGCTTTCAATCAGAACCAACCACTTTAATCTTTGGGCTTTGAAATCCTGCCTCATTCCAGTCTGTCCCAGACCTCCAGGGGGAAGCTGGGTCCTATAGCCAAGTCCCAAAAGCATGATGTAAAGTCACTCGAGGGTCACAGTCATTTTTTATGTAAGCCAAATGGAATTTGTTTCCTTTCGTGAATCTTGTGGGTGAGCACATGAGCTAGAATTTGTGTTCGGCCTCTGGAAGAGGTGTGAAAATAGCAGAAGTTAACAAACAGCCGGTGAGGTTGTCAGAGCCCTGAGCCGTCTGAGCTGGCTCTGCTGGCTGTTTAGCATGGTCAGCCCGAGTGCCGTCCAACCAAGCCACTCCTGGGACCTGCGGACAGCATATTCTCTTCCTGAGTCTTTGTGTCCAGTTTTCTCAAGCCCGGGTTTGTTCCACAGATAAAAGCAAAAGGTTTTGATCTCAGCCTTGATGCTGAGTACAGGAAAGGTGTTACGGGCGGGGGGAGGGGAGGTTTGGTCAGCAGGGAAGGTCGATGAATACGTAAGAAAGGCCCGGACCACCTGAATATGTTCTGATTTAGACCATGTGACATGGAGAACTTTTTCTCAGGACTTATATTTTTATGGGTAAGAATCACTTGACCACAAAAGAAACATATTCGCAGAACCCACCACTTCGTAGCTCAGCCAACAAGATTCCTCCTCTCCCCCGCCAGGAGTGTTTCTGCTCTGGTCCCATACTTGTTCTGACACTACAGTTGATAAGGTAAACCCTTTCCCCAGGAGGGGGCCCGGAAACTCCCCCACCACCTTGTGCTGGTCATTACGTGTGCTCAGTATGACCCTAGGCAACCTTCTTTCCTCTTCTCCATACCCCTGCCGTGTCGAGTCTACTTCTCACTCTCAGAGCTCCTCCTGAGCTGGGGGGGGGCCTCTGTGCCCTGTCATGAGATGCTTACTGCCCCAGGTCCTCCGTCCCCCCCCCCGCCCCCCTCCTCCAACAGGAGACAGCAATGAGAGCGTGCCTGTCCCAGCGGTGGGCCACCTCCAGTGTGGGTTTCTCTGTGTGTCCTTCCAGAGTGGGTGTTTGTTGGCCTGGTGATCCTGGGAGTCTTCCTCTTCTTCGTCCTGGTGGGGATCTGCTGGTGCCAGTGCTGCCCTCACAGCTGCTGTTGCTACGTCCGCTGCCCGTGTTGTCCAGATTCCTGCTGCTGCCCTCAGGCCTGTGAGTAAAGTGGCCCGTGCGGGAGACACAGTGATCACAGGGGAGGTCACCTCTCCATCAGACAGCTGTGTGCCCTGGGTTTCTTCTCCACCTCCTGCCCTTCCACCGTAAAAGTTGGTTGTTCCAGGCTCACTGCTCTGCTGGGGGCCCCTGGCTCCCCGAGATGGCCATTCTTGTTTGCCTTCTCACCTGCATGCACTTCTCCGTACTTTTTATCCACACCACTCACCCCTGCATTTGCATTGCTCATCAGCACTGCTGATGAAAGGAAGGGCAGGTTCCAGATGGTCAGGTTGTGGGTAAAGCTTTTGCCCTCTCTGCAGGCCTTCAGGCTGGAGGAAACCTTCCCTGGTCATGCCTCTCAAATGCAGAGAACTCCTCTTTTTACAAGCAGAGTGTGCAGACGGCAGCCTTTGTATACCATCCGGCCATGGATGAGTTTTCTTTATTCCCGTGACAAAATGGCCCACCAAGGGACTGGTCCTCATTTGGGGATTCACAGTGGCGCCTTACTGGCCGAGCCCGTGCAGCCACTAAGTTGGGCCCCCCTGCCAGAAACCAAATAGATCCTGAAGGAAGAAGACATACGTGTCTCTTTAGTGTCCTTGGGAATAAAGCAGTTTCCAGGAGGAGTCAGGTTATTTGCTCTGCCTTTGAGATCACAAAGCAGAGCCACGTGCAAGCTCATTGCCTGCCTTGCCTCTCCAGAAGAGGTGTAGGATCCTCCTGGAAGCAGCCCCGGGTGGCCTGTGGCTAGGCTTCCTCCAAAGGGACTGAGGCAGCCTACAGACAGTGTGGTTAAGAGTGGGCTGCTGGGGTCACTGCGGAGGCCGCCATGACAGCTCCTAGTGCTGCGTCATCACTCCGTTGCCGGCTGCTAAACACTGTAATTCCTTACGTCGTCGCCTTTCGGTGGAGCTGGAGGAGCCCAAGGGAGTGGGGGAGAGTGGTTCCGACCAATCAGTTCAGGCCTAGGCGAACACGCACGCGCGCATGCGCGCACGCACACATCCAGGCGCTCCCTTAAGCGCATCCTCAGGCAGTTTTGGTGTGAGGGTTGTGGAGGGTGGGACGATAATATAATCTCTTTTGCTCTTCATCTCCCTCCACAGTGTACGAAGCAGGGAAAGCAGCAAAGGCTGGGTACCCTCCCTCTGTCTCCGGTGTCCCCGGCCCTTACTCCATCCCCTCTGTCCCCTTGGGAGGAGCCCCCTCATCTGGCATGCTGATGGACAAGCCGCATCCACCTCCCCTGGCATCAAGTGACTCCACTGGAGGAAGCCGCAGTGGTAAATGTAGTTCCAGACTGCCCGGCCCCATGCTCCTCTCTGGCTTCCACTCTGGCTCCTTACTGATAGGAACCATCAGCTCCATGATTCTTCCTTGGAAAATGATGATCTCCATTCCAGAAATGGGATCCCTCCAGCTGTATCAGATATCATCTGGAGTGCATGTCGGGCTTTCCAAGGACTGCAGGATGTAGCTGTCCCTGCTCTCTTCCCAGGCTCCTCAATAACTAAAGTGATAAGGAAAAGAGGCAAGGTACCCCTTGAATGTTGATCATCCAGTTAATAAATAGTTATCTCATGCCTATCTAGTGTTCAGGGCTGTAACAGGCACTGTGAGGAACATTAAGAAGTATAGGACTTGGTTTGCATAGGAAGCAGTGTGGCCCAGCCAGGGAGAGAGGATGGATTTTTATTAGGACAGTTAGATACTACAAAGAGTGTGGTGCTGGGAGTTCAAAGAAGAAAGAGCTGGAGCGGTTACAGAGGGTTCAGGGAAGAGGTGGATTTGAGCTGGGCCTAGAGGAACAGAAAGGAATAGGAGAACAGAGAAGGGGGTGCTCAGGAGGGACACATGGTGGGAGCCTGGAGCTGGAAGAACAGGGTGGGTGTTTGACAGTCTCCAACTTGGCGGACCGGAAGAAAGTGGAGGGCTTTGGTGGAGCCTCATTCAGATTAGGGTAGGCCTTGAAACCTGCCCAGGAGAGCCTGGGGCTTGGTGCCGTAAGTGAGCGGGAGCCACTGCAGGAAGGTTCCTGAGTTCTTGGAGAGGTGACACGCCGACAAGGCTAGTGGTAGTGGAAGAGAGTGGGATCAGAGATCCCGAGCTGAGATGTGACTGAAGCCATTCAGGGGCTATGAGAGCATGTGGGCCTTGACAGAGGCCATGGGAATTGAAATGAGTAGGCAAATCTGAGAGATTCTTCAAAATACGACTTTAGGGAATGAAGGAAAGGGAGGCTTCAGGATGAGCCCAAGTTGTCTAGTGCTGCACATCACAGACAGACTTAAGTCATTGGTAAGGAGAGCTTATTTGGATGGAGATTAGCCATGTTATTCTAGGGCATGATGAATTCGTGGTTATTGGCAAGGGCAGAGGGGTAGAGGGGTGGAGGGGCATTCAGACGTAGCTTTCCTGGAGGCATTTGAACAGGATTACAGAGTAGTAAAGGTTAGACGTGTGTGAAGTATCTTTAGGAGGTGATTTTTAAATTCCTAGGTGTGGATGAGGCAGTAGTGTTGGTAAAACAGACATCTGTCCCCTGGAGGTATCTGGACTTCTTTCAGTGGGAGCTGGGAAGAGTATCTTGCCCACTGAATGAACTGTCAGTGCTTGACCGTGGAAGGAGTAGATATCCTCAGTGACTAATTGGTATTTGTGTTTTTTTTCTCTCCCTGGAACTATTAGTAGAATTCTGACGTCTGAGCCTGGGAATGAGTCACAGACTGAGAAGTAAAAGTTAATGATCAAGGACACACAGGGAATTAGAGAGATAAAAATACAGGTCATTTCCCCAAGGATGGTGCGGGCCAGGGGACGTTAATGGAATTTGTCTCATATTTTATTTGCAGCTTCCCCTTTCTCCAGTCTTTTTATCCTTCCTTCCCACCAGAACCATTCCCTCTTACTTTTTTTTTTTTTAAACGGATTCTCATAATGAAAAGATTCTTATTCATAGGATGACAAATACTTCCTCTCTCCTGATTTCAACCTTTTTCTAGTTCCTGCTTGTTGTAGTTCCATCATTTTGGCCCTATCCTGCCATACTAACCAACTGCAATTAGAAATGGCTTGGGGGCTCCTGGGTGGCTCAGTCGGTTGAGCGTCCAACTCTCGATTTTGGCTCAGGTCACGATCTTAGGGTGGTGAGATCGAGCCCCATGTCGGGCTCCACACTCAGCTGGGGGGGGGGTTAGTCTGCTTGAGATTCTCTCTTTCCCTCTGCTTCTGCCCCTCCTCCCTGCACACACACACTCTCTCTCAAAATAAATAAATCTTAAAAAAAAAAGAAGTGGCTTGAAAAATAGGAACATTTCTTATTTCACATAGCAAGAAATCCCAAGGAAAGATGGCTCCAGGGGTTAATTGATCAGTTCAGGTGGCACCACTGAAGGACCTAGTCCTTTCCATCTCTTGTTCTGTCCTTCTGGGCTGGCTCCTCTCATGATCCTATGATGACCGCCATAGTTCCAGGTACTAAATGCGTTCAGAGATAGAAAAACATATGCTTCTTTCTTGTGCTGCTTTTCTCAAGAGTGAGGAAACCTCTTCCAGAAGCCCCTCCCCTTCTAACAGACTTCTCCTTGCAGTTTTATTGGCAAGAATTGTGTCTTGTGCCCATTTCTATACCAGATTGGCTTGAACTAATACAAGACTCATCTCTTAGGCCAGAACACTATCCATCTTGGAAATGAACAAAATCAGGTTTCTCTTAACAAGGAAAAAGGGAAGGATGCACAGCTGATGTCGGACACAGCTAGTCTGGCCCAGGGTGTCATTATCTGGTTCATTGAGTCAGGGCGGAATTCTTCATGATCCCCCCAGTGGACACATTTCTGTACTCATGGTCCCATGGCTAGACTTACTGATGGCATTTGGCTATTTGTCCTTTAAGAAAAAGGTGGCTTCAGCCAATGTTTCATGTAGCTTATTTTTGAAAGCATGTTAGAGATGTAAAGAAACACTGATTTAAAAGATGTAAATTTAGCCTATTTTATATTTATATGCTACTTTAATTTTAGGGATTTTAGGGTAATCGTCTAGCAACAGTGATTTTTTTCAGATTACATTTGTACACCATACCCTTTTGAGCCCTCTGGGTAGTTGAAAAGGCAAGGTTACCAAATGGGAGCAATAAGAGGCAACCTGATTCCTTCCCCTGTTCTTCATTTGAGATCTCTGTTCCAATAGAAGAAGACTGTCACCTCCTGTCCTGCTCTGGTTACAGCCTCTTCATCTTTATCAAGGTTCATTTTTTACTGAGTATCCACACTCCATCCAGTTGGAAGATTGGCTCTCGTCACCAGCCTTTCCTTCTCTAGTGACTCCTTCCTAGCAGCATTCGAACCATGCTTAATATAACAATTTGCAAAACCCCCATAGTCCTCTGATGTTACTTCCCTGTCCCTTTTCTCCTCTTCACAGCCAAACTCCTTCAGTGTTTTGAATATCTTCATGTCTCCATGTCCTCTGCTCTTCACCAACTTCTCAACTAACTTCCATCTTGCTATCACTTCCAAAAAGCAGTGCTTGTGAAGATTGCCCTATAGCTAAGTCTAATGGATACTTCTCAATTCTTACATCCCTTGACTTCTCGAAAGCATTTACCACCTGTGTCCCCACTCATCTTTCTTTGCCTTCCTCAGCACTTTACGTAGTCATTTTCCTACCTATTCTGCTATTTGCTGACTATCCTTCCTCTGCACACACCCCGGATGTTGGTGTTCCTGTTTTGTCCGAGGTCCTCTCCCTGGGGAATCTAACCTTCTCCCATGGCTCAGTCATCTTCTTCATGCTCATGAGTCCCAGTCATGATCTCCAACCCCTCCTCTGCTCCTCGGTCCCATATATCAAACTGCCTTCTGGACGTTTCACAGCCATTTCAAACTTAAACTCTAGGAAATTGAATTAATCTGCTGTTTTTGGACTTCAGACGAACTCCTGCATTCCTTATCGCCGTGGATGGCACTGTTGTCCACCTAGCAGCCCACACCAGAAGCAGGGACCTCACCCTTATCTCTTCCTCACTTCCCTCATCTGGTTCATCACCAAGTCCTTCAGATTAGACCTCAAAATAACCTTGAATCGGTTTACCTTCCTCCGTCTCTATAATACTATCCTAGTCCTTGCTCCCGTCATCTTCCTCCTTGATTAATGCAACTCTCTCCTACCTCGGCTTCCCACTGCTTCTCTTGCCTTGCTCGAATCCATTTTCACATCTACCTGGCCCCCACTCATCCTTCCTACAAAAGAATTGAGTAGGCAAGTAGGGTTTTGAAATGTCATTTTCGAAACTAATAAGGATGTGTGTCTATATATATGCCTACTGTATGTATACAGAGAATATGCAAATTTTAAGCATCACTTCTCCCACAGTGGAGCTGTGATCACCCTGGGGGTGGAATCTGGCAGCTGTTCCATCATCCATAAACAGCCTTACTTAGCTCATTAAGATAGGACAGGAAAAACAAGGCGATAGCCATGGGTATCTGCCTTAGAGACTTCTTTTGCAAGTTGTGTAAGTTAGATTTGGCTGGAAAGGAGAAAGTAGCTGAAAAATAGTTAATTTTCAGCTAACTGGGTCAAAAGTATCCACTCAACTACTTTAACAATAAAAATTTTTGAAGTGATAGTTTGGTATCAAAATGGATATCCCAGTATTCCATCTCCACTAAAACCAAAGTTGCCGAGGCTAATAAGTTAGAGGAGCTGAAGTATGAAGAGCCACACCAACCAAAGGACTTGGACCAGACAGAACTTGAAAAAGATAAATCATCCATCCACCCTAAACTGAAATATCCCTGGGGGAAAGAGGTCATTTTCCAAAAAGTGCTGGACGTCAGGCCAGTAGTCTAGGACACGTCTTATTAAAATTATCACCCTACATCGGAGTTCTCTGATCTTCAGCAAATTACGGATTAAACAAACAAACAAACAAACAAACCCAACACTCTTTACTGGGAGAATTGCCTAGCTTTTTAGCTACTGAAACCAAATGATGATACCTCTAAAGTCTAAATGTCAATACTTTGCCTCTGTCCTTCGTGGCAAATTAGAGGGATTTAGGTTTCTGAAGACATTAGCTGGTGTGACTGAGAAGTCAAAGCTGAAAGTATCAATTCTGGTGGAGTCTCTGTATAATGCCAGTACTGAGAGCCTCATTTGAGGCTGCCGGTAGTTACTGTAACTTCTCAGGGACATGATAACCTGTGCATACATAATCAAGTCGGTCTCCTAATGAGGGTGATAATTTGTTATAATGGCACAGAAAACAATCTAAGCTCTAGTCCAAGTTGCAGTTCACCGAGGGGTTTCCACCTGGTGCTGAGAATGGCCGCCGCCTCCCGCCACAAGGGGAGAGCTGGTACCTTGTTCCATAACAGCAACCCCCCCCACCTCCACCCCATCTCAGTATGACTGAAGGTTTACCGTAATAGTGCTTCACATATTAAAAACACCTAGATAGAGCCACAGTTCAGGTAGAGTAGGCCCCTTCTCTAAAGCCTATCAAATGCTGGTCTTCTCCTTTAAAAAATAACCATCAGCAATAACAACAAAACTTGCCTAAGCCTTGCTGCTCCCTCAAGCTACCATTCAAGTCCTCCCCTTCCTGGTCAAAACCAACCACATGGCTGCTTCTGTCTTACTTTGTAATCCCTTGTAATGTAGTTTCTATTCCTGATTTCTGTTCATTCGTTCGTTCATTCATTCATTCATTCATTCATTCGTTCATTCATTCACTCATTCATCCATTCGTCCAAACACAAATGTTTTGGGTGTCTACAGTGTGCCAGGCTCTGTGCTAAGTGCTGGGGATGCAGAGATAAACAGAGAGAACTGGTCCTTATCCTCAGGAAGTTGACAGTCTAGAGAGGGAAACTCTACTGAAAATACTCTTTCCAAAGAAATCATGAACTTCACCACCATCCCCAGACTGGCCCAGTTCAGTTCAAACAGACATATATTAAGTGCCTACTAAGCAGTGTCCTGGGCTTTACCCGGATCTAGAATAAAGAATTCTTTTCCTTCAAGCATCTTTGGGAAGATTAGACATTTATACAGATAATTTGGAACCAACCAGAATATATTGAGGGTCATAACAAAAGTTCAGAGTAAATGATTTATAAGAGAGAAATGAGATGGAGAGAGAGAAAGAAGAAATAGAACTTTCTAGCTCTGAGAATCAGAGAAAGCTTTTTGGATGTGGTGCCATTTGAGCTGCCCCTAATAATTACAAAGAACTCAAAGTTCTCTAATGATTTGGTTTTTGTTGTCTTCTTCTTCTTTTTTTAATTTGTTTCTATATATTTGTCTTCTCTTCTGCATGAAGAGAAAGGTTGGGAAGTATTAGTTGCACCTTACGGACATGAAAACTGGGTTCTTGCTAGGTCATCATTTGAGGTCCCTCAATAAACCAGTGGCATGCCTACAAACCCCTGGTTCCCTACTTCCTAGCCCTGTGTTTCATCCATCAGACATAACTGCCTCAGAACAGACATAGCAGTTCCGTGGGATAATTGCATTTTAATTGAACTGTCTGTACAACTCTGTAAACGCCTCTGCAGAAATGGAAGAGTGTGTAGCTTGATAAATAAAATCATTCCTACTAATAGTTGCTTCGGCATAAGGATTATGGATCTAACCTCCAGAAGAAGGTGCCACTTAAAAGTGTGTGCTGAGATTCATTAATTTTTTAAAGTAATTCCACAATTTGAGGTGAATATGAACGGCCCAGAATGTTCTCATATAGAAAATCAGTGCACCTGAAAACGGGTGTGGGGCGTTCTTTCAGTCTTCGGTGCCAGGGCTGTGATCGGAGTGCTGTGCAGTACTGTATTTTAATCTTCCATGTGCATCGTTTGTGTGCGGGACTTTGTCCGCAGCCAGGGTGACATGACCAGAGAGCAGAAAGCCGAGTCTCCTTGGGAGGCGCATGCGGCCGTGTGGTTTCTTTATGGTATTTGCCCTACTTTGGGAACCAAGAATGTTGGGAGTTGGGTTACTTGCTTCCATCCCATTGTATAGTCCTGACTGGCCAGAAGATAGGACTGATAGGACTGTGCCTCAGATCATACCGCCCATGGCCCAACTACGAGCATTTCCTACTCGGGGCTTTCTTGTCTTCCTCTCCTGTCTCTCCTTACCACCTCTACTTCTGGGCTCCAGAGAGGTTTCAGTCAGATTACGTAGTTCGAGCCCCAGTGCCACCAGTTATTCTTGAGTAAGTTATGAAACCTCTCTGAACCAAAATTTTCTCAGCCATAAATGGAGGCTAATAGTAACTTCATTAGGGGTGGTGAGGAACGGATGTCCATGTAAAGCATTTAGCACAGTACCTAGCACATTTGCAGTGCACGATGGGGGTTGTCTCTTACCATTTGTTCTATCCCCATTCCACTGGGTCCTTCTCTCTCTCTTGTTTCTCGTATTTGTGAAGATTACACTTGCCTGTGTCTGATCACCGTTGGGGCTGGTATTGGCCTTGACTGATACTAAGTGATGTGGGCCTTAAACAGCCTTTGTTCCTGACAGTATGAGTGATGGGAATGTAGGAGATGGTCTTCTCTCTCATGCTTTAGTTTTCTTTTTTATTAAGCCCCCAAAATAACACCTGCCGGTAACCACATAGCAGCAGGTTGAATTAATCATGTCTAGGATATGGTATTCCCTCTCCTGAAAGGGAAATGTCAAGGAAATAAAATGGAACCATAATTAGCAATCCATGTATTTTGCACCTTATTTTGCACTAATGCATCTCATAGTCTATCATACTGGCTCCCATGCACCACCCTGTTATGGAATTTTTGCATCATCTCCCGTGAAACTAGAGGCTTTTGGGCCACCTTTGTCAAGGTCCCTGATGTTTGGGTGTCTGTTTTATTTACATGTTCTCCCACCAAGTGAAGATGTGATCCTGAGATGGTATAGAGTCATCTGTGTCCTCAGTCTAAAAAATTGTCTTTTTAGTGTGAGTATGCTTCCCTGAGCTTGAAGTAGAGCTACAGGAGGTCAGAAAGTAGGAAGCAGAAGTTAACAAATGACCCAAAATGTACTGTAATAGGACTTTGTTGTTTACCTGCTGTTCCTCCATTCCAGGGGCACCATCTGATAAAAGGGATCACAGGTATGGTTCCATAAGTATAAATACAGTTGATTATTTCTGGCGATTTCAAAAAGAGTTGTTATAAGCAAGAACTATGTGTTTTACTTGGTGAAATAAAGGGAGGCCTCCTCCTGCTTTTTTCAGCTCCCCTTCCTGTCCTTTTTTCAACAGTTCGCAAAGGTTACCGGATTCAAGCTGACAAAGAGAGAGACTCCATGAAGGTCCTGTACTACGTTGAGAAGGAGCTGGCTCAGTTTGATCCAGCCAGAAGGATGAGAGGCAGATGTGAGCGTCTGTTAGTTCTATGTGATCTGTGCATCATGCAGGAGTTCGTGGCTAAAGGGGATTTGGGGGTTACCAAACTTGGCCAGACCTGAGCTCTCAGGGCTTAGAACTAGCAGGGGTGCTGGTGATGTCCTGAAGAAAGTAGCTCCAAGTACACAGAAGGGAGAAAAAGGGCTCCTGGTGTGTACCACCTTGGCTTAATGCTGTTTCTCACCACCGGGCAGTCAGCATTGCTGGGCCTAGGCAGTCCTGGGCTTAGAAATGTTTTATTCAAAGAGTCCTTCCCTACTACTCTCTTTAAAATACATTCAAAATAATGACTAAAGATGTGAGTTTTTTTTCCAAAGTGAAAACCCCTACCATTGGACAACAGTCCAGCTGCCGACTTGCTACATGGAGGCCTCAGTGAAGTAAAAGGCCAAGTCTGCCCAAGGAATCTACAAAAAAGAGGCCTATGTTCCCTCTGAGATGCCCAATAGCAGAGATTGAGGGGCCAGCAAAGAGGCTGCCCCTCTTGTCAAAAGAACTTTTAGATTACTGGGTTCGTAGGTGGCAGGGCCCCAGCCTTCACTCACAGCCCTTGGACACCCTGCAGCTGACACAGCTCATTACTTGGGGCGGATCCCGAATGACCTTCTACGATGAGAGACAGCGCGGGGCAGGTCTGACATGGACGGACTAACGATTGGAGGGTACGGCAGGCCCAGTAGTGAGGTCACAACATCTCTCTCCCTCTCTGAACCCTCCTCGCCGTGGAAGCTGAGGAGAGGCTTGATGGAATTGTTGGGGAAACAGTCCCAGACTAGAGGTGCTTTATTCAGATTAAGGACAACATATTCCTCCCAGTTTGCAGTGCTAAATTCATCCTGTCTGAGCTGCATCCATTGCTGCATCCTCCCACCGCACCGGCTATAAAAAGACCATCTCCAGATTGGAATGTCAGGAATGCAGATGTCACTGCACTTGACAAGTTAGTTGTAATGTGTTGTCATGGAGTCCTGTAAGGGGACAGAGATAGCGATCCAGGAGAAGGAGCCTAGGGAGGAAATCTGTGAATCTCTCAGCTCAGAGAAAGAGTTAAAAACTGAGGTTAAAACTAAAGGATGGATCCTGATTTAGGTGATGTCTCCTGTCTACCTGGATTAAAATGGTCTCCAGAGACTGGCTGGTCAGAAGGTAATGGCATCTGAACACCCAAGGGGACCTTAGCGATGGCCGAGGTCGATCTTCACAGTGTACAGGTGAGGAAACAGACACCCAGAGGGTTGGAGTGACCGGACTGGGACTAGAACCCAGCTCTTCTGATTCCCAGTCCTGTGCTCTTTACACAAGACATTTTTGAGCAAACTGGATGGCTCCATGGCTGTAGCAGCTGTTTCTGTTGAGAGATCACAGCCTTCTACCTCCGAGGACTTTAGTATGTTGGAACAGAAGAGGTTGAGGTGGTTGACTCCACCTCTCCCATTTTACAGAGGAGGAAAGGAAGCAGAGAAGGAAAGTACCTAGTGTTGGCACCTCAGGTTGGAGGTGCCGGAGCCAGAACTGGAACCAAGATCTCCTGGAACCTGCAGGTTGATGTTACAATAATTGCATAGAGATTAAGTGGGAATACAGTTCACCTGACTTTGCGAGGCTCTCTTTCTGAGGAGCAGAGTAAACCCTGGGGTGGATCATGGCCATGGGATAGTCTAGAAGATCTCATTGTAAAACGTATCTCATGGTTTCAGGTTGTGACGAGATTCTGTAAGAACTGGGAATTTCAGGTTCAAGAATTCGCGAGATTTGCGAGTAAGATCCTCACTTTCCTTGCCCCTTGTAGGTAGGGGGTTGCTCTTGGAATATTTTTAGTCCAGAAGCCCAGTGCAGTGATCTTGCAGACTACAGCTCCCAGGGCAAATACGTTCCACCTCCTGTTTTTGGAAATAGTTTGTATTGGAACAGAGCCAGCCCAGTTCTCTTATACCTTGTCAATGGCAGAGTTGAATAATTGTAACAGTATGGCTTGCAAAGCCTAAAATATTTACTATCTGGCCCTGCACAGAAAAAGTTTGCCTAGTCCCAGAGTTACATTATTAGGTGTTTGTGAAGCAGGGATGTTGATGTTTATGTTCAACATGGCAGAAATGTTAGAGGAACATACAACCTAGACAGTCCATCACTATGAATCACGAAACTGAGATAGCCCTCACTATGTGGAGAAATGAAAAGATCCATTATTCCCTGAAGTTTAAGGAAAGTTCTGAGCCAACAATGGGATTTTCCAATAGTTTCACTTGCTGCCTTTTAAAGTTCCCTTTTGTACTGTTCCCAGGGGATTAGAATTCACTGGGATCATGAGAAAAGGAAGGTTCTGGATTTTATTATTCAGTAGTATCTGAGTTATTTTCCTTTCAGATGGACACTTACTAGTCCATTCTCGTTAGGAGGAGGAAAAGGCTTAAAAATTAGATTATAATTCAAAACCAACTGACTGCGTGTCCAAGATGAATGGCATTCGCAGGAAGCCCAGACCTGGTAAAATAGGACAAGGAGGCCGTGTTTATGCAACAGGGGGAGGGAGCGGAGGCCCTTCCTTTCCTTGGTGGGTGGGAGTGCTCCTCCAAGAACTCTTGGGGATAAGGAAGAGAAGTAGAGGGGAACCTGAGACACGGATTTGTGGTGTCCACATCCTATCTTGGCTTACCTTTTACTCAACAGCCAAACCTTACACCTTGTAAATGTTGATTTTGATAATATTTTTAAGTTCTAACCAAAGGATTTTAGAAAACAAATGGATCCAGTTGCATTGCAAATAGAATCACTAGATGTGTTTTTTAAGTAAAATGATATTCAATCCATTTCAAAGTTCTGTAAACAAATGGTTGGGTTTCTTTCTTTTTCTTTCTTTCTTTCTTTCTTTCTTTCTTTCTTTCTTTCTTTCTTTCTTTCTTTCTTTCTTTTTCTTTCTCTCTCTCTTTCCTTTCTTTCCTTCCTTCCTTCCTTCCTTTCTCTTTTTCTTTCTTGACTGATTCTTGTTCACAAGTGCTTTTGCAAAATGCTATTTAAGCCACTTTAGGAAATAAGAAAACTGTGCCCATCCCCCCCTTCTTTGTAGGAAGAGTACAAGTGGAGGCCAACAGGCCGTAAGTGCAGCCTGCCCCTCTTTTCTTACCACACCTGTACACAGCTGTCCTAGCCACCCATGGCCACATACACTGGAATATTCTTTAGGGAGGCAAAGAAGTATTTGTAGGCCCTGGAAATGGACTTGGTACCAATTGGGAAGGATAGTCCACGTTCCTGGATGAGCATCCAGAAAGGGGATGATTGGATACCAGGTGTGCCGTCCCCTTGCCCCTGTGGACTGTGCTCTGTGGTGAAGGGCACAGCTGAAGGAGGCTGAAATGGGGTTCCTCTAAGGCATGGGGCTGTACTGGTTCTGAAGGCTCATCTTGGGATGCAGTCAACAGTAAGGGAGATTTTTTGTGAACTGGCTTCTCTCTCTTTTTGCCCCTTTTGGCTCAACCTGCCTGGGATCATCATGGCTTTCAAAGAATTATACAAGAAGAAGAAAAACATTGGAACAAGGATGATGATGCCCTAGGAGGAAACCAGCTGCAAAGAGCCCGAGTTCTGGGAAACATGCCTTAGGTGGAACAATAACAATTGTTTTTCTATTCTAAGAACAGAGCATGTAGGAAGCCTCCCTCTCTCTAAGCCGGTGGGCTTCTGGATGGAGCCAGTTCCTGCTGAGCTAAGAACACAAACCCTGTTAGTTCAGGTCTACAACCAAACTGGAACAGGCTTGAAGCCTTGGGTAGGGAGTCTTGGTCTCAGCCCTTAACAGACTTCCCACCCTAGTATGTAGAAAGCTCTGTCATGCCTGGTTTTGTCCCTGCAGATAACAACACCATCTCTGAACTCAGCTCCCTGCATGAGGAGGACAGCAACTTTCGCCAGGCCTACCACCAGATGAGAAGCAAGCAGTTCCCTGCGTCCGGGGACTTGGAGAGCAATCCTGACTACTGGTCAGGTGTCATGGGGGGCAGCAGTGGGGCAAGCCGGGGGCCCTCAGCCATGGAGTATAACAAAGAGGACCGGGAGAGCTTCAGGTAGGGGTGAAGACGGCTGCGCCGGGGCTGCAGTTCTGGTGCTGGGGGCGAAGGGGCTGGAACTGGAAGGCAGGGTGGCTCTCAGGCTGTTTTCTGATAGCATCTCTGTCTCCCATTCTAGGTTGTCCTGCCACACCTCTCTTTGGGCTGTTGAGCATCCCCTTCTTGTATTTATTAAGCAAGGGAACCCTTGTGACACCGTGTGTAGTAACAGTCATTCAAGTCCCTTTGAAACGGGTCCTCTAGTCTCCTTAATGAACCTTACTAACACTTCCTTGCCCTTCTCATAATATTTTTTCCTATAACCTCTAAAAATTCCCATCCATCATCTCCCTCATTTTAAAAAAGATTTATTTGAGAGAGAGCAAGTGGGAAGGGGGAGAGGGAAAGAATCTTCAAGCAGACTCCCAGCATCAGCTCCATCTCACAACCCATGAGATCATGACCTGAGCCAAAACCAAGAGGCAGATGCTTTACCCATTGAGCCACCCAGGTGCCCTTCCATCATTTTTGATCATTGTTACGTGAAAGGTAAAATGCCAAACATGTTACACTGTTGTATTTGATTCTCCTAACCCTAAAAGGTAGGTACTGTTCTTGTCCCCGTTTTAAGTTGGGGAAACTGAAATGCACAGATGTTACCTAGAGTCACCTGGCCGGCCAGTGGTGTGGGGAGGCCAAGATGTGCACCCTGTTTTGTATGGCTTCTTCCCAACTGAATAGCACGGTCACCACTCACCTGTCCTTTATCTTAAAGGACAGCAGACATAGCCTTTCTCTTAGACTTGCCAACTGCAGGTAACTCGCAGAGATTACTTGGCCGTGGGCTCTGAGGGAGGCAAAGGCTTCTCTATCACCAAATATTACAGGGTTATCCTTGGACCACAACTGTTTGTATCGCAAGCCACACCACCCACGCTGGCTTCCAGGGTGTGAGAAGTGAGACGTGTGCCTGTCACCCAGAAGCCACAGAGTAATGATCACAAGGCCCCCACTGTGTGTTGCAGCACCAGATAAATCACAAAGTATTTTTATCCACACAACTCCGTTTTGATCCTTAGCACGAATTCCGGAGGTAGCCACGGTCGCCCTCACTTTACTGTCTGAGGTTCCCAAGCGCCAGAGGTGTCCAGGCCTGTTCAGCCGGCCCCTGCGTCCCGCTCAGGGTCCCTGCCGCCCGCCCCCCCTCCCCCCGCCGGCCTGGCACACGGCGCCCACCTTGGTTGCGGGCCAGGGCCGGCTAACCGCCATCCCCTCTGCCCTCTGCCCGCAGCCAGCAGCGCTCCAAGTCGGAGATGCTGTCCCGGAAGAACTTCGCCGCGGGAGTGCCGGCCGTGTCCATGGACGAACTGGCGGCCTTCGCCGACTCGTACGGGGCGCGCTCCCGCCGGGCCGACGGCGACAGCCACGAGGCGCGGGGCGGGGGCCGCTTCGAGCGCTCGGAGGCGCGCGCCCTCGGGGGCTTCTACGCGGACGGCTCGCCGGAGGAGTACTACGGCCCGCGGAGCCGCAGCCGGGAGCCCCTGGGCGACGCAGGCCGCGCCTGGGCCCCCAGCACCCCGCGCCGGCGGCCCGACGACGCGCCCCTGCCGCGCCTGGTGAGCCGGACGCCGGGCACGGCCCCCAAGTACGAGCACGGGCCCCGGGCCGGCGGCCTGGAGCGCCAGACGCGGCCCGAGGGCGCCAGCCGCGGCGGCAGCCTGGAGACGCCGTCCCGCCTGAGCGCGCAGCTCGGCCGTCGCAGCGCCTCCTACTACGCCTGGTCGCCGCCCTCCACCTACAAGGCGGCCGCGCCGGAGGACGACGAGGACGACTCCGCCGACGACGACGCGCTGCCGCCCTACAGCGAGCGCGAGCTGACCCGGGGCCCGTCCTACCGCGGCCGCGACCTGCCCTACCACAGCAGCTCGGAGAAGAAGCGCAAGAAGGAGCCCGCCAAGAAAACGGTGGGGCCGCGCCGGGTGCCGCGCGTGGGGCGGGGCGGGTCGGGGGGCCTGCCCCGGGCGGCAGGGGCCCGGAGGCGTCTTTGGGAGCGCGGAGGCTAGGCTGATTTTTGCCGGCCTCGCCCTGCGCGTGCAGTCAGTAAGCGTGAGGCCCTGGACAGCTCCTAAAGCAGAAATAGCAGGGGTGTAGAGGCAGAGAAGCAGATCCGCAAGACCAGCTTTGAGAAGCACGTAGCATCAGGGATTTGAGGCATCATTCCCACCACGGACATTGAGGGGGACCTCTGAGGTCTGTGTGCAGAATGTTCCGTGCATGCCGATATGCGCGTTCCTCCCCATCTCCCACCCCCGGCGGGGAGGGTTTATAATTGGCATAAAATTCCCAAAGCGTTCACATCCCAGAGAAGGTTAGTGGCTACTGCTATTTTTGAAGGACAGCTCACTTCTTTCCTCCTTTGACATTTTGTTGAATGCAAACTATAAATTGTGCTCTGTGTATGTGAGGGAAACCTTTTGGTCCCTGACCAGTTAATTGTCTCTTTTGTAATTGGCCTTATGGAGATTTTAATGCTTTCTCTGTGAATGCAGCCCAGTCCATCCCTCGGCCCCCAGATGTGAGCTCTGGACCTCAGAGAAACGCTGGGGGACAGTCACAGATGTCCACTCTCGGGTGCCAAAGTGCCTGTGCCCGCTGTGCTCTTTTTCTGGAGGCCACTCTGCGAGCCCAAGTGCTTATGCTCCCTCCTCAGTTACCCTGCCTCTTCCACCATCTTGTTTTTCATAATTCAAGGTGGACATTCTCTTTAGCGTGTAGTATGGGGAGAGAATATGAATGGAAAAAAAGTAACCCCTCCAGAACAATTAAATGTCTTTTGTCGTTCTTTAAAGAGAACAATGAGATGACCAATGAAGTACCATGAGCAGGGAGTGACCTTTCAGGTCATGTCGGGTTTATGGTGCACCCTCCACACACACTAGCTGTTGTGGAGCTATGAACGTTGTAGTTAGCCCTAGAGGGCTGGGAAGTCGTTCTGGGGCCATGGAACTAAGTTCTGTCAGATGTATGTTGGCTTCAGCACCAACTGAGGCTTGGGAACGATAACCACAAGCCTAATGAGATGCCCTGAGTCAGGGTGTGCCAGATGCTGAACAGGGTGTGGACTCTGCCCAGGGAACCATCTGCTGTGTTGTGTTGGGTTTCTTTAACCATTGTGTGGTGTAACGTTGTGCTCTTTCTGCTCTTTTCCAGAGTGACTTTCCAACCAGGATGTCCCTTGTGGTCTGATGTTTGTTTTGAAGACACCTCTCTGGGTGACTAGAAATCAGAAGCAGACTACTGGGACAAGACACAAATCCAAGAGCCAGCAGGCCCGGGACCTTCTCTGGCCACCACCTTGGAAGATTTGCTGATCTTTGCTTTGGCAAGGGATGGGGGGCAGCCTTTAAGGAAGGCTGACTCCAAACCTCAGCGTACATCTAACTAGTATGAGAAACTTACGAAGATGACTGCGTGTGAGAACGTTCCCACACATGGAGTGTCTCACCCACTGAGTTCATCCTGCCTGGTATTCTTCTGTAGCTGAAACAGGAATCCTTCTCCAATTCTGAAAGGGAGTTAGCTCCGGACTGCTAATCTCTAGAAAATGCCTCCGCCTACAAGTATGTTCTTCTATGTCTCCTGTGCTGTGCTTAGAGGCAGAAACGCTTATTACTACTATTAAAAGAAGGCCTTGTACTGACAACGGAAGGTAACTTTAGGCAAAATATACCTTTTATCCCTGTCTCCTCCCAGTCACTAGTCAATGACTATTGTTACACTAAAATCAGAAGGCCTTTGGTGAGCTCAGTGACAGTGACCTGCTGGACAATCACAGAAATGACTTCAATTTGCTGTTTTAAGTGACAGTTCTTGAGTGGCTGGAACAAGACAGAAGAGAGTATACCTTTGTGAAAAGCTGTGTAAGTGGTATTTCTTTTTCCATTCTGAGAACTTAAACTGCTTTTTCTCTTTCTGCTGTGCACAGTGAGATCTGAGTCTTGGACATTAAGGGCTCTCCTCATTCTCCCTTATTCTGGACTTTCCACAGGTTGGTGCCACCCACAGAGCCCCACTTCCCTCTGCACTCTGATTAAATTGTCATCAGGTGCCTTTTGAGAAATGCTTAAAATACACACATGAAAGAAAAGAGGAAGAAAAAAAAGGAGAAAGTGGTTATGCAAAGTAGAGAAGAATGAAAAAGAATTTAAGAGGAAAAGAATATGTGATCTCATTATACTTTGAATGTGGGCCATTTTCCCCACGAACTCCACTCGGTCTTCTCTGGTTCTGTACCTCATTTACCATGAGTTGTTTCTGCCATCCCAGCTGTGTTATCCCAGGACGCCAGAGGTATGTGGCGCATGCCTCTCTTGGCCTCACCAGACTTGCTGCTCTCCACACTTTGGGAAATGAGGGATCTTGCTCTCTCAGGAAGGAGCACTTCCGATTCCCACCCTTGCTGAAATGATAGATGTTGCCTAAATCCCAAAGCTAGATATCACCGGATTTTGTAATTTGTATAGACTGCAAAAAAGTGGCCACAGTTTCTTCCCTTTTCATCAAGAGGTGCAGTCTCTTTCTCCACCCCTCAAATCTGGGAGTGACCATGTGATTTGATTTGGCCAGTGGCCCCAAACCAATGTAACACAAGCAGAGACTCGACAAATTCTTGTGCATGGGGCCTGTCTTCTCTTGCTGTTCTTGGGAACCTTGCAGTTGCCCCTAGGTGAACAAGCCTGGGCTATCCTGCTGCATGATGAGAAAAACAGGCCCAGTACCCCTTCCGTCCTGACAGCCTATTGAGTCTCAGCTGATTGCAAACACATGTGTGAGCAGCCAAGCCCGACAGGAGATTGCCTAGCTGAGCCCAGCCCAAATTGATTCCTACTCAAGGCATGAGAAGTTGGTGCACCCTTTAAATGTTCATTTCTCTTCAAGGACAAACTGACTGTTTCTCCTTGTCTGGATGTTCAGCCCTTAATCCCCAACTCCATCTAACCCTAGGTGTCTCACAATCTCCACTTTCTTTGGCAAACGTTTGCCAAAGCTTTTCACCCTGCACCATTATGGTGGGACATATGCTTGGATCAAAAGTCACTGGAGGACAATGAACCTATGAAGGTTTCTTCTTCAACATCTTGTCCGTCTTCTTCAGAGCCACCTGACCGGAGCTGGGCCCTAGTCTCAGAGCACCATTCCACTGGTATCCATTTACTTCACGGTATTTCCAAAAACAGTCCTACATATGCAATGAAATAAAGAAGTGGCTGGTGAGGGTCAGAAGGATGAGTTGATACCATTGCTTGGAGGAGACTTGGCCTACCAAAGGACTTCTCAGTGGCTTTGGCCTGTCTGAGAGGAACCGGGGACAGTTCAGCCCAGTGCTGGCACTTCCAAGGGCAGGAAGACACAAGCCATAACCCTGGTGCTGAGTTTTAGACTTGCTGGTGTCCCTCGCCTCTGAGAGCCTAGGTCTAATCTGTTTGGGCCCCAATTCAGATGGAAAGGATGATTAAACATCATCATTTCTTAGTCACCAGCTTTGGATTTCAACTTGCTCCGGCAATTCTGGAGAATATTGGGTAGCTGCAGAAGCTATTATCTCTTCACACTGAGCACTGTGTCAGGCTTCTCTCCACCAAAGAGCCCCATAGCACCAGCTGCAGAGACCAGATACATTGCTTTTGTTAGCCAAGGGCATGTAGGATTTTGGAGAAGGTTAGGAGAGTTGTGGAAAAGAATTATTAAAATTGGAAACCTGCAATTCCAAAGACAAACCAAACTATAGACAGACAATACAATAAAAAACACAAAGACAGCAGGCTCCTGAAATAACCTGGGGAAATGGGACCAGGTTGTCCCCTGTAGGGCTGCATAAATCACTGAAACTTCCAGAGAGAACACTATTGTTTCTGGGTACGTGGATAGAGACAAGACTGGCTAGACAAATAAAGGCAAAGCTGGCCAACCTCGGCACCCTGGCTTTTCCCAGTGGGTCCTTTTGTTTCTTCCCTGAATAGTGTTTCCCACAGAGGAAGGGCTTATACATATTAGCTTCCTTCCTAGGTTTTATTGGGGTACAAAATAAGTCTTGTGTAAGACATGACCTCTGTCCATTGGGACCCTGCAATTGAATAGGGGAAATAAGACATGCCCAAGAAAGAAGTAGGAGATTTTATGCATATAATGTGAAATATTGCTATGGATAAATCACAACAAACCCAGAGAATTAAAGTTTTTAAATTTAAATGGGTATATTTTGATATTTAAATGTTGTGTGTGTTTGTCCATCCATTGTCTTTAAAGATTAGCTCAGTGTTCTGAAAAAGCCAGTATTAAAAAATCTGATTGGAAGAGATGAATTAGGATGGGGAGGGGTACAAGGCAGAGGGCCCAGGGGGATGATGCAGGACGTGCTGTGTGCCTGTGAGTCACAGCTGAGTCAGGGATGTGTTGGAGAAGGGGGTGCAGGTGCAGGTGGCAAGAGGTATCTCCTAGAACAGCTTCGTTAGGCCATGCATAGATTCGCTAGGAAGCTGGGGACATTTGCCCTGGACCTGATGGTATGCGTCAGCTTTCACCCAAGCATGCTCCCAGGGGAGCTCTGGATCTGCTTGTCCAGGGGCTCAGTTCTGCAGCCGTGAGTGTTGCTGGCTACTCTCACTGACACAGAGAAAGTCTGGCAGAGATAAAGGGCCTCTCATCTCTCTTCCTGTGATCCTCACTCTGCACCTGGCACAGGACTGGGTGGGTGGGGGGGGGGCAGGAAGGGGCTGCCACTCTAGCCCGAAGCACTCCATGCTGAAGACACCTAGCCACGTCTGTATTTCTAAATACTCTGAAAGACATCACATAGGTAATCCGATTAGATTACCTGATTACCTTCAGAGGCTGAAGTTGCAGATACTGTTTTAATCCTTCCTCCCCTTTTCTTTATAAATGGATATGAATGGAGAAATAAACCATCGTTGCCATTAGTGAAGTTACAAATCTAATTAGGCCTTTAGATTCCGAGCCTATAAATCTTATCTGCTGGACCGGTGTTTCCCCAAATTGCCTAACCAGACAAATTATGTGATTGCTGTTAAAAATGTATTGTTGGGCCCCACCTTGGAGATTGATTAGGTGGGTCTGGAGTGAGTATGGGTTCTTTTAACGTATGTTTCAGAAGAGCGCTGTGATCAGATGCATTTGGCAAATGGCGCACTAGATCATACCTGTGGTGTACCCCCGAGCAGTTGGTCCTGAGGCTTCCTTGGGCTTCGAGGATGTCTTCAGACACCCTCTTACTCCCTTGGGGCTGGCAGTGGGGCAGTGCCCAGCAGTCTGGCTGCGACAGAGGTGACTGGCTCGCCAGGGTCCAGAGGTAGGGGAACTGTGTGAGGCAGAGAGGAAGGAAAACTCGGAACACTCCCCGAGAGCCGGTCCCAGATGTTTCTAATCCTAGAATAATGATCTATTGTGACAATCTCAGATCTGACAGTAGGAATCACAAGTAATTTTCTCATTCACTTGATGTCATTCTGAGCAAAACTTAGATCATGAACAGAAAGAAAAAAGACGGGGAAATGGCAAATCGTTCTTTGAAGCATTCAGATTATCAGCCTGGCTGGTCAACTCCCACTTCCACTTTAAGACCCAAAGTGGGGTGGGCAAGAATAATAAGAACTACATTATATACCCTTCCAACATCGGATTTAGATGCTGCCAGAATCTTGCTAGAGTTTAAAATTGATCTATAGGATCTAGAGATCCAAATTCACCAACATAGGGCCCCAGGTACTTAAAGTCCTATAGGAAAAAAGTGCCTAGTTTTTTTTTGTTGTTGTTTTTTGTTTTTTTCTGCTAGGATCCTACCTCCTAGACACCTGGGAAGCTGATCCATGGATCTTTAAGGGGCTTTTACTATCAGAATAGAACAGAGATACTGTTGAGCTGCTTAAAGCAGCATCCTGAGTTTTGGCACTGCCTGAGGGTGATAAGTTTAATACTAAGAGTATTTTGTTATTTTTATGGTGTATTACTGTTTACAGAGCACTTTCACACGCATTATATCCTTTGATCCTCACAACACCCTCCTGCCCACAGAGGCAAGGTGGATGTTGTGGCCTCCTCATCAAACAGAAGGTCAAGCTGAGGTTGAGAAAAGCTAAGTGATTTGCCTATAGTCCAAAGGTTTTTAAAATTATAGAGCCAGGCCCTCCGTCTGCCCAGGGTCCTTCCCAGACAATTCCTGCAGCACCCAC